TATGTAAAGGACCTATAATAGGAATAAAGGATAAAATTGAATTAGTAATATTTGAAGAATCATTATAAAGTAGATAACGAGAAATAGCAATTCTAAGATAAATTTAGCCTGGTCAATTAGTAACAATAGGAATAATCTGTCCTTTTTGAATGTATTGTTTCATAGATGAAATATTTGTAACAGCATCAATTGTTTTAATATATGCATTTAAAGAATGTAGATTATTTTTCTGTAAATCTACAAGAATAACATCTTTCATAAAATGAATAATACGTTTTTCTTTCAATCTAATATCATAACTATGCACTATTAACTCCTCTAATTTTGTATCATCATCAACTTCACGAAATCCCCAACGTTGATTATGTAATAATCCATAAAGTATCATGAATTTATTTTCTAAATTTATTTTGATTAATTTAGCATCAACCAGTATGGGATTATGTATATTTGATTTTAAAATTGCATATTGAGTAGTAATTGGATTCATTAGAATTATTGTTAAATGTGCCGCGGTAGATGTAGTAGTCATATTTGGCATTTGTTTGTATAAATGCTATGGTAATCATCAATGTTTAATATCATCACTCTAACTATATATTCAGCAAGTGCAGAATTGACAGTTTCGGCATATTCTTCAGATGTGATAGTTTTGCATCATATAACTATACGAGATTTTGTAGTTATACCTAAATTTGCAAGAGTATCAATAAAATTGTTAGAAACACTAGTAGAATCCAAATATATCATCAAATTTTTCTTTACATTATTGACAAACTTATTTTGAATTCCACAAAGAAAATAGCATATAAATAGAAGCTATTTCTTTACTTGTATCTGTGAATCCTTATTTTTTGAAGATGGATTAGATGAAAGATATAATTTATCGAAAAATAGTTTTAACCTTGCATCCTTTGCTTCCATAACTGTTCGAAATTCGTCAAGTGAATATAAAATTGATTCTTTTTTTTTATTTTCACGAGTATGTAGAATATTTGTTATAATTTCTATTGCTTTAGAAAAAGATAAAATAGAGTTAGATTCATTTTCAAGTTTACGTCATTTCACATTAATTTCAATATATTCTTTAGCATGTTGCTGAAATTTAAGAGAGTTATTTATAATAATTTTATTATAACAATTTAAACAAATTGTATCATTTTCTTGAACATAACCTAGTAAAGTTTCATTAGCTTGACCTTTAGTCAGAACATTCTCAGTTACTCTTCTCCATTGAGTCAATTTTTTCTGACATATAGTAATTACACAAGGTCTAGTAATAGCATTTGATAATGACATTGCCTTCTAAGTAAAGTACTTCAAGGATTCTGATTATTTTTTGATTATTTTACACAGCGAATCTTGACGGTCTTTTAAAACTGAAAATGAAATTTTTTTTTGTGATACACTAATGATAATATCATAAATTAAAAAAGTACTTTAAACTGTATAAATTCAATTGAATATGA